CCCCCCCCACTATTCCCTTCCCTCCCTATTCCCTTTTCCCCCTCCTCCCTATTTCCCCCTCCCTATTTCTCCCCCGCCTCACTATTTCCCCTCTCCATGCCCCACTCTTTTTTTTGGCGAAGAATGAAAGTGCATTAACCAACAATTTTTTCCATAGGGTGCTGGAAGCAAAGGACCATCTGGTAATCTGAAACAGAAGTGAGTTCTTTATTTTTAAACAGGCAGTAATATGAAGAGAGACTTTGTACCAGGCAGTTCAGATATTAATAAAAAGAACTGTCGAACCATAGAGAAGTTCTAGCACAGAAAGAGACTATCCAGCCCACTGTGTCTGCATCAGCTAATGTAAAAAAAAAAATTACTAGCTGCACATTCCACCTATTTTCCTATTGAACCTGTTCAGGGATGTTATTACACCCCTCTGGAGCAGGTGGGACTTGAACCGAGGTCCCTGACATTCGTAATAAAAACCAAAAGAACTGCGGATGCTGTAAATCAGGAACAAAAACAAAGTCGCTGGAAAAGCTCAGCAGGTCTGGCAGCATCTGTGAAGGAGAAAACAGAGTTAACGTTTCGGGTCCGGTGACCCTTCCTCAGAACTGATGGTGGCTGGGAAAATGTCAGTTTATATGCAGAAAATAGGGAGGTGGGTGGGGTAGGGAGTAAACAAAAGGATAGAGCCCAAAGAGAGAGAGAGAGAGAGACAGTTGGACAGATAAAGGAGTTGATAACGATCAGGCTGGGAGGGTGAATAGTTGTTAATGGAGACTGTTAGTGACTGACAACAGGGGGTGTGTAATGGCAGGCTATGTGGTAACAAGGCCTAGTGTGTGGGGTGGGGTCTGGGACATGGGAGATTTTAGGCCCTAAAATTATTGAACTCGATATTGAGTCTGGAGGGCTGTAGGGTCCCCAAGCGGAAAATGAGGTGTTGTTCCTCCAGCCTGCGTTGGGCTTCGCTGGAACACTGCAGCAAGCCAGAGACACAGATGTTGGCCAGGGGGCAGGGTGGTGCGTTGAAGTGGCAGGCAACAGGTAGTTCAGGGTCTTTTTTGTGAGCGGAACGTCGATGTTCTGCGAAGCGGTCACCAAGTCTATGCTTCGTTTCCCCAATATAGAGGAGACCACATTGTGAGCAGCGAATGCAGTAGACTAGATCCTGGGAAGTGCAGGTGAAGTGTTGCTTCACCTGGAAGATATGTTTGGGCCCTTGGATACTGGGGAGGGAGGAGTTAAATGCGCAGGTGTTGCACCTTCGCCGGTTACAGGGTAAGGTGCCGTAGGGCTGTGGGGAGGTGTTGGGGGTGAAAGAAGTGTGGACCAGGGGGTCCCAGAGGGAACGGTCCCTGCAGAAGGTGGACAAGCGAGGGGAGGGGAATATGTGTCTGGTGGTGGCATCTCGCTGGAGGTGGTGGAAATGGCGTCTGATGATCTTCTGGATGTGGATGCTGGTGGGATGGTCGGTGAGGATAAGGGAAACCCTATCGCTGTTGCGGGAGGGACGAGAAGGGGTGAGGGCAGAAGTGCGGGAGATGGGTCAGACCTGTTTGAGGGCCCTGTCGACAACGGAGCTGGGGAGTCCTCGGTTGAGGAAGAAGGTGGACATTTTGGAGGCTCCCTTGTCGAAGTTGGCCTCGTCTGAACATATGTGATGGAGACAGAGGAACTGAGAGAATGGGATGGAGTCTTTACAGGAAGTGGGGTGTGAGGATGTATAGTCCAGGTAGCTATCGGAGTCAGTGGGTTTGTAATGGATATTAGTGACCAGTCTATCCCCAGAAATGGAAACAGAAATGTCGAGGAAGGGAAGAGAGGAGTCAGAGATAGACCAGGTGAAAGTGAGGGCAGGGTGGAAATTGGAGGCGAAATTGAGAAGTTTTCCAATTCCAGACGAGAAAGGGAAGCAGCACTGATGATATCATCGATGTATCAGAGAAAGTGTTGTGGGTGGGGGCCAGAATAGGGCTGGAACAAGGAATGTTCCACGTACCCCACGAAGAGACAGGCATAACTAGGGCCCATGCGGGTACCCATTGGCAACCCCCCTTACTTGAAGAAAATGAGAGGAGTTGAAGGTGAAGTTGTTAAGGGCTGACATTCTGACATTCATAGCCTGGTCAGCGTTCAGGTGCAGATCCAGTTTTCTTTTTAGTGTGTTGAGGATTTCCAATTCAACCACCAAGCTGGCCAACAAAACCACCATCTGCTGGATGAAAAAGTTTTCTTCCTCAACACCTTAAATCTGTGCCCTGGGTAACTGACCTCTCAGCTTGTGGAAGCAGATCTTCCCTGTCCAGAACTCAATTAAGTTATCCTTTGGCTCCCTTTGTTCTGAGGGAAACAACCATTGCTTATCCAGTCTTTCCTCATTGCTGCAGATTTCAATTCCTAATAATATTCTTCTAAATCACCTGTTTAGAGCAATTCCGCTTTTATTTCTTTGTGGAGGCGTGTCTTCACTGTGCCCATAGTATCTTACTTCTGAATACATCCCACTGATTTTCCTTCAAGTAGCTGAACATAGTCCACTTTCGCCAGATCACCTTTCAGTCTTTGTAAAATGTACTTCCTCCCATTGTAGATATTTTACTCCTGTTCTTTCTTTGTCCCTTTCCAGAGTAATGCCACATCAAACTGTGTTATGATCATTGCTCCAAACTGTCACCCACTGCTGTGGTGTCCACCTGCCTAGTTTCATTGTCTAAAACTAAATGTAGAATTGAGCATTCTACCTGCTCAAAAAGTTTTCTTCAATGTTGTTCAAGAATTTTGTGCCTACTGTGCCTATTACGCTGTTCACATCCTAGTTTAGATTTGGTTAGTTGATGTTCCCACCTATTATTGTCCTATTGTTTTTGCACTTATAAATTGTCTACATATCTGCTCCTCTAACTCTGTCTCACTGTTTGGGGTCTGTAGTACACTCCTAGTAATGTGGCTGGCTGTCTTTCTATCTCTGACCTCAACCCATATGATTTCATTGACATCCTTCCACACAGCTAAAATTGATTCCTTAACCAATAATGTAAATCCTCTACCATTTCCATCTCCCTCTCTATCCTGCCTGGAAACTTAAGTATCAAGAGGTGCTGAGCTACCATTTTGCCTTCTTTAAGCCAAGTTTCTGTTTCAGGAATGATATCAGGCTGCCAGGTGGGCCCATCTGAGACGTCTGAAGGGTCTAGAACCGAAACGTCAGCTTTCCTGCTCCTCTGATGCTGCTTGGCCTGCTGTGTTCATCCAGCTCTAAGCCTTGTTATCTCTTCTGCTCATTAGTTTTGTTTGCTATACCACTTGTATTTACATATGCACCCTTTAACATTACCAAGTTTCTGTGCTATACATTTCAAGTTTTTCTTCCCTCACATTTTCTGTTTTCCATTCCTTGCTCTGAAATAGACTTATCTGAATCTGTCCTCAGGTTCTCATCCACTTGCCAATCTAGTTAAAAACCTCCAACAGCACTAGGCAATCTTTCTGAAAGGATATTGTGATGTAAAGGGTCTGATTTATATTTATCTTTAATATCATTCATTTTGTGTTTTGAAATTATTTTTATCATTTTAAATTGGTTTGTAACATGGGTTTTCTGTGTGTCTGAAGTTTATAATTGTAAATGTTTCTGTAGCCATGGTGATTTCTTTTAAAATAGGCTGTGAAGGCAACTTTGAACAGCCTAATGGGCTTTAGTTTGCTTTTTTCTCTACAGTGTAGTAAGGTTTCTGTTGGAAATTTCTCAGCTGGGCGTTCTTATTGAGCGTACGTGGTACACGCATAGCTTAGAGGGAAAGATTTTTGTTTCAATTTTACTTCATTTTGGACAGTTTTGTGAAGTCCTTGCATGGAGTTGCATGCATAGAGCAATTCTCCTGAGTAGGAGAGAATTTAATTAAACTTGATTACCGAGAGTAAAGGGTTAGTGTTGTACCTAGACCAGAAATGTTGGGGTACAACCCCGAAGAAGACTTGAAGCTGAGGTCATTTAAACTCGAGTGTATGAAAACTCCAGGAATAAGTTGTTCGAGATTCCATTCTAGGAGTTAAAGTCACAGCTACCTTAAACCTATCAAGGTGTTAGAGAAAGGGATTCTGGTGGCAATATTGTACAAGGGATTTTTTTGAAACTTCTAAAGGAGTGTTTTGGGACTATAAGACCATAAGAAATCGGAACAGGAAAAGGCCATTTGGGTCCTTGAGCCTGCTCTGCCATTCAATATGACCATAGCAGATTAACAGGGATTATAATTTTACTGTATGTTTGAAACTATGAACTTGGTTTATTCTATTTATCTGTATTTATTTTGTGTAATACATATCTATTTTATTATTAAAAACAAAATTGCATGCTTGTGTCTCACTGAGAGACCACCTCATTAAAGCCAAAAAAAGGTGAAATATGAGCCAAGATTTCAATCTGGGATCTGACTTCTCTGGCAATAACATCAACTTGGCTTGTAATATTCATCCTGGTCTTGTTCAGGTGCAGATGGTCCTGTTCATGCATGTCTCACTTTCCCCAGAACCAGTCTCAGAAATCTAAGGCTGTCACTCCTATACCAGCTTTCCAGCTGTGTTCAACTCTCCACTCCTCTGTTTCTATGTTCAGTAGTCTGTAGCACTGGAGATAATCCTGAGGTTACTGCTTGAAATGACATGCTTTTCAGTCTCCATCCTAGCTCCCAAAAATCTGCTTTCAGGACCTCAGTCTCTTTCCCACTTCAGTCATGATGTGGACCCCAGCCTGACTGTTCATGATCCCCAGAACAATGTCCTGAATCCTTTCTAAGACATCCTTGACCTGGCACCAAGGAGGCAACATTTTGGTGTCATGCCTGCGCCCACAGGAATGTAATCTCTCCCTGACTAAAGAATCTTCTATCACTATTACTTCACCTCCCAGCCCCTCCCCCCATACCCTTCTCCCCCTCCCTTGTGAATTAATTGTACATTCTGGTTATTGAGTTGGCAACACAATTTGGTTATTGTGGGTTAACATCACATTCTGCTTATTGTGGGTTAACTAAACATTCTGCTTATACTAAGTTAACAGCACATTATTCATGATGAATTCTTATTATTAGGGAGCAACGCAATAGCATCCGATTCAAATGTGTTTTGACCAACACTATTCTTGATGTTCTTCGTCAGCGACCTGGATGGGTTGAAGTCAAAGAGTGAGTCTCTCTTTATTTCTGTCTGACAAGGGGGTGGGTGTTCACTGAAAACTCTTAATAATCTTATGTGCTCCTGAGAAACAAACACAAAGGTGACAAATCCTGGACAAATAGGAACTCAGGACACAAACTGGAGGTGAATAGCTGTAGAATGACGGGGACTGTAAGATCAATAATGTGACTATTAACATAGCTAAACCTCATTTCAATACCTTCACGTACATGCGTCTCTTCTGACTTAAAAACTGAAGATGTTTGTGAATCTATACTTCCTGTTTCACTGCTTCCCAAACCTTTACTTATTGTAACCCCTTTTTGAGGCTTCAAATTTGTGGCAAGCCTAAGAGAGAACTCTGTGTGAGTGTGTGCGTGTGTGTGTGTGTTTGCAAAGGGAGGCCAGCAAGAAAGAGCAGCTTTCTGTATAAGTTGGGCCTGTCACATATGGGATGCAGTTGTTATATTCAGAGCTTCATAGCAGCCATTGTTACCTTGGTGCTCAGGACCCCACTTGTAGTCCCAACTCCCACATTGGGGAGCCGTATTCTGCTTTCTACTGTCCACTCACCACAGCCCAGCCCTTGTTCCTTTTCAGTTCAGGTAGTCTAGAAGAGGAACCTTTGCCATCAGTGGTGGAAGTTGGAAGAACAGAGTCACTTATTCTTACACTTGAAGCTATGAGTTCAGAGACTGAAACTGTGTTTACATTTAGAGACTCAGCTAGAGAGGGATCTGCACGTGGTCACACCCTGCAGTGTAAGTCCCAGTGTACAAGTCAGAACAGGAAGGAGAAATGGAAGATCTACTTTCATGTGGCATCTTTCACCACCTCCAGATGTCTTTAATGTGTTTTTGTGATGTTGGTTGAAGGAGGAGATAACTCCCTTGCCCCTGTTCAAAATAGTGACGTGGGATCTTGAAGCTGCTCTTCCTATGCCATTTGCAGTCTCCTGAGTTGTAGGTCTGTTACCTCCCATCAGCCATGCTGCAGTTACTGGGGAAACACATTGCAGCATTATTCTCTCATGTTGTTCATTCTTGTCAGAAAGAACATGATTTGGCAATCAGTAATGGAGGAAAGGTAAGGGGTATAGGATATCAGTGACTAGGGAATTGTGGCTGAGGTTACTAGTATCATACATTGCTCAATCATGCAGAACGTCAGCAGAGCATGGCTGTTCTCATGTAGCCTCCCTGTTCCTCCTCTTTTAATAGATGAAAAGAAAAGCCAAACTGAACCTAGGCCCCTTAAAGAACGAGGCTGGGAAATAATAATGGGGAACCAGGAGATGGTAGAGGAGTTGAATAAATACTTGGCATTAGACTCCAGTAATGCATGCGGTTATATTCAAAGCCATAAAAGAATAAAGTTCATTCAGGAGGGCGCATTGAGAAATTTGATCAAGAACGTGCATATATATAGTTCAGACGTCAGAGTCATGCTGTTCAAACAACCCTCCACCTGACCCTCTCAAACACCATGTAGTTTGCATCTGGCAGAGTCTACAGAATGTGCAAACTTATATCTCAGAAGCCATTGAACGAGAGTGGAAGCAAGGTACTCTCTGTCTTGAGGGAACAGCCTATGAAGGGAAGAGTTCATGATCCTTTGTAGCTGGAGAGGGAGGGTGAAGTGTGCTACTGGGCTTCCCTTCATAATACTGAGCATGTGTTCAGCTGCATCTAGATTAAAACAGCACAGGCTGGAGTATAGTGGAAATCCTGGCATCAATTCAGGACACTGTTTGCCCAGTTGTTAGCTGCATGTGCATAAACTCCTTCAGTAAGGTGGCATTCTGCACTGTTCCCTTCTCAAGTCATTGTCAAGCATTAGGAAGTCGCATGGAGCTTAAAATAAGTGGTGATTCATAGTTCAGGTTTTGCTCCTGTTTTGTTTTGAAAACATCTATTAACTTACTCTTAACATTCTCTACTGTCAAGTGAAAATCTCTTCTCCAGAATAGAGCTCAGAGACATGAAGTCTGGACCCTTGGATAAGAAGTTTGATGGTCTGAGCTATCTGAATACGTTCATTTTGTTCATGATGTATCTATAAATCTTTTCCATGGTCTGTTTGGTGAACTAGGTATGTGGTGATCCGTGATGTGACCCTATATTTGCAAGTTATTGTGGTTTGTGTCTTTATGTCTTGCTGTATGTTCATGTCCTTCTTCTCATTCAGCTCTCTCTGTTGACAGTGAAGGAGATTGGGACTTTTACTGGTGTGACATCAGTTGGCTACGTGAAAACTTTGGCTACACGTATATGGACGAGCATGTTCGTGTCTGTCACTTTCGCAACCACTATGAGGTACGAAAGTCAAATCTTACTGCACCCTAGCTTGGTAGAAATAATTAGCATCAAGAGTAATCATCAGAACCATCCTGATTTTAAAAATAATGGGGAAACATTTGGTCTTGGATGATGGCCACAAACTGGCAATGGTGAATCAAGCTCCCTCTGTGAACTTTGCCATTTCCTCCTTCCCCAGTCTCCATTCCTCATTCCCCACACCTTGAGTCAACTTGTCTTTAACATAAAAAGTCTCAATGACTTCATACCGAATATTCAGGAGGGCATTGTGACCAAAGGAGTTGATTATAAGGAGGTTCCCAAAGAATGAGGATATGTTTACATTCCTCTATGGGCTTCATGTTCTCTCTTTCTTTAACTCCCTGTAAATGTGCAACCCTCTGAGATCTCTGTGCTCCTCCGATTCTCTGATTTGTAATTGCATCATCATTGACAGCCATTGGCCAGGTTTCTTGGAATTCCCTCTTTAAACTTCTCCATCTCTCTCCTCCTGTCTTATAACTCACCCTGCTACTCGGTTTTGGTGCTTGTTCTGATTTCCCTTTATGTGACTCAGTGTGAACTGTCATCTAGAGCACACCTGTGTAGTACCTGAGGATATTTTCCTGAAGGTGTTATATAAATGCAAGTTGTTGCTGAGAGTTATGAAAACAGACTTTACACACCAGTGATCAAGATGCAAGTTGTTTGGCCTCCCTTTGCATTAACAATTGTGCTTTTTGCTATTTTGTCCTGCTATCACTCCAGGCGATAACTGTATTTAAACAGAATCCAAGTCTACACTTTTAGTGAGAGCTTTATTTCAGTTAGCCAAACTCCATAAAACTTTCAGCTCAATAATTACTAAAAAATTTCTAATCAACTTTTTCAGGGGTGTCATTGCATACCTCTGGAGCAAGAGGGACTTGAACCTGTGCTTCTAGCTCAAAGGTAGGGATGATACCACTGCAACATGAGATCCCTATAATTCAAATCCAATGAATGTATCCATCACCTCTTCTCTCGGTCCATTAGGTCTCGGGTATCCCTTGTGACCTTTATGATGTGTTAAAAAATGGGGTTGTGAAGAATTAATCCAACAGGTCTCTAAATCTAAACGTTGGAGGTTTAAATGTTCATACAATCTTTTTTTGCGTGGAAGTTGACACGGAAAAACTTTATGGTGAAAAACCTGAAGAGGTTTCGCAAACAGCTGGAGCGTGATCAGGGGAAGCAAGAGGCAGCAAAATGTGACTTCTTTCCGAAGACGTTTGAGCTGCCTGTGGAGTACCACCTTTTTGTGGAGGAGTTCAAGAGAAATCCTGGAATCACCTGGATCATGAAACCGGTGAGAAAAAACACAACGGGTAGGCACAGGTCACTTATCCAAGTTCTTGCATTGTTCACAGAGCACCCTAGACCCAGATATCTGTGGGTACTCCACATATATTACTCACAATAAACCCCAGACCTGGATACCACACACACACATAGCCCACAGTGAACCCCAGATCCGGTTATTCCATACACACTGACCACAGTGAACCCCAGACCCAAGTACTCCACACACACACAGCTCACAATAAACCCTAGAGCCCAGTTCCAGACACACACTGACCACAGTGAACCCCAGACCCAAGTACTCCACACGCACAGCTCACAATAAGCCCCAGACACACATTGCCCACAGTGAACCCCAGACCCGGAAATCCCACGCACAGTGCACACAGTAAACCCCAGATCTGGGTACCCTACACACAGCCCACAATAAACCCCAGACCCGGGTATTTCCTACACATAGTCTACAGTAAACCCCAAATCCAGGTACCATACACATACAGCCTACAATAAACCCCAGACCCGGGTATCTCCCACACATAGTCTACAATAAACCCCAGACCTGGGTGCCACGCACACTGCCCACAATAAACCCCTAACCTGGATACCACACACAGTCAATAGTGAAGCCTGTACTCCAGTACTCCTCGCACTATCCAGTATATCCAGACCAAGGTACCCTGTATAGTGTGTTCAATCAGTATGAATTGACATAGTTCTTCAACCGCCACCAATCTCTGATTATACACAAATGTCTATGCTTATCAATGTCATAACTTTGAAATTAACTCTGTATATCTCAGAAACACGATCTGCTCAAATTTTCTGCATCAACAGTAGGTAAACAAATAAGATTGCCAGAGTAAGCTCAGCATTTGCTTGTTTATGCCACAGACTGTGGAGCAAACATCATATCAAACTTACAGCAGTGCTTTCTGTGTTCTAAGCTGTTGTAGCACCTACCCTCCTTTATGGCTGAGATATGGATTTCCTACTCTAGACATAGTAAACAGTTGGATAGGTTCCACATAAAATGTATTTAGAACATTGTGGGCATTAAATGCGAGGAAAAAGATGCCAAAATTTCAAAGAGCAGAAATGTCCAGAATTGAAGTAGTAATGGGGAACAAAGCAATGGCAAAGGAAATTAATAGTACTTTGTATCAGTTTTCACAGTTGAAAACACCGGCAGCATACCAGAACTTGAAGAAAGTCAGGGGACGGAGGTGAGTGTAGTGGCCATCATTAAGGAGAAACTGCTGGGGAAGATGACAAGCCTGAAGGTAGATATTTCATCCAGATGAAATGGACTACATCCCAGAGTTCAGAAGGAGATAGCTGAGGAGATTGTAGAGGCATCAAAGGTGAACTTTCAGGAATCACTGGGGTCGGGGAGGGTCCCATTGGACTGGAAAATGGCAAAAGGAAGGAAGGCAGAAGGTAGGAAACCTGTTAGCCTGATCTCGGTCACTGTTAAGATTTCAGAGTCCATTATTAAGGATGAGATTGCAGAATACTTGGAAGTGCATGGTAAAGTAGGCCTGAGTCAGCATGGCTTTGTCAAGGGGAGGTCATGCCTGGCAAATCTGCTCGAATTCTTTGAGGAGGTAATGAGCAAGTTAGACAAAGGAGAGTCAGTGGACATGATCTATTTGGATTTCCAGAAGGTCTTTGACAAGGTGCTGCACAGGAGGCTGCTAAATATGATAAGAGCCCATGGTGTTAGGGGCAAGGTGCATGGATGGAGGATTGGCTAACTGGCAGAAGGCAGAGAGTAGGGATAAAGGAGTCTTTTTCAGGATGGTTAGTGGGGTTCTGCAGGGGTCAGTTTCATGACCAAAATATTCACGTTATAAATTAATAATCTGGATGAAGGAACTGAGGGCATTGTTGCTAAGTTTACAGATGACACAAAGATGGGTGGAGGGGCAGGTAGTGTTGAGGAAGCAGAAGGTCTTGGACAGGCCGGGAGAGTGGGCAGAGAAGTGGCAGATGGAATACAGGAAAGTATGAGGTTATGCACTTTGGTTGGAAGAATTGAGGTGTAGACTATTTTCTAAATGAAGAAAAGCTTTCAAAATCTGAAGAATTGGAGTCCTAGTTCAGGATTCTCTTAAGGTTAACATGCAGGTTCATATGGCAGTTAGGAAGGCAAATGCAATGTTAGCATTCAATTCAAGAGGGCTAGAATACAAGAACAGAGATATATTGCTGAGGCTGTATAAGGCTCTGGTCAGACCGCATTTGGAATATTGTGAGCAGTTTTGGGCCCTGTATCTAAGGAAGGATGTGCTGGCATTAGAGGAAATTCAAAGAGGCTTACAAGAATGATCCTGGTGTGGAGGGCTTGTCATATGAGGACTCTGGGTCTGTACTTGATGGAGTTTAGGAGGATGAGGGGGAATCTAATTGAAATTTACAGGATTCTGAGGGGTCTGGATAGAATAGACATGTAGAAGATGTTCCTACCAGTAGGAGAGACTAGGACGCAAGGACACAACTGCAGAGTGAAGAGACCACCCTTTTGAACTGAGATGAGGAGGAATTTCTTCAGCCAGTGGGTGGTGAATCTATGGAACTCATTGCCACAGAGGGCTGTGGAGACGAAATCACTGAGTGTATTTAAGACAGAGGTAGGTTCTTGATCAGTAAGGGGATCAAGGTTACAGGCAGAAGGCAGGAGAATGGGGTTGAGAAACATATCAGCCTTGATTGAATGGTGGAGCATATTCGATGGGCTGAATGGCCTAATTCTCCTCCTATACTTTATGGTCCAGGAGCACTCGTCGTGAGAGGTTATGATGCTCATGTAATCTGTATGACTGACAATAAAATCCCTAAGGCGGTCATGCATTCACAACTTAAACTTGGACAGCACCTATGAGGCAGACTAAGTTTAAGGTTTAAAGTGTTCTTGAAGGGTAACCTCAGGAAATGTGGCATGTCCACCATGGACTCAGAAAATAGTGAACAATAACCACCTGGGAAGCAATCTCAAATAGTGGCATTGTTTCCTTTGAACAGCAATGAATCTGGCAGCTAAGGACAAAATGCATTTTAGAAAGACAGGGCAGTCCCAACAACATCAGACACGACATCCTGCTTGTGCTTTGGAAACCTATGTGTTCAGGCTTCTTAGCCATGTTAGAGTGCAAAACAGATGTCTTGAAATGTGCAAGAAATGGCCATCCTTGATAATGAAGGGAAACTGATGATGATGATGGTGATGCAAAGACAGTAGATTGAAATTGTTTGCTGGTGGACTAAACATGAAGTGAAGCTGAAAAATTGGTGAAGGTTGTGAGCACTGGTGCAGTCCAGTGTCACCTCAGTGACTAGCTGATTACACAGTGAACCTGTTGAATTCAAGTAACTATATGTCAGCCAGTGAAGCTTCAGCTGGAACATGGTGTTGTATTTGTACACAGCCAGCAATTTCATACATCATATTCAATTCTGCTGAATATCTCCTGACAAAGTATCTCTGTTCCAAATAGGTTGCAAGATCACAGGGCAAAGGCATCTTTCTTTTCCGAAAACTTAAAGATATTATGGAGTGGAGAAAGGTGATGTTCTGCTTGTAATAATGTTCTGATATATAGAAAATATTACCACCTTTTTGAAAGTAAGGACTGTGAAATTTGTCCTGTAATGCCTGTTTTTTTCAGCGCTGTGAATGAAATTTGTCTCCTTGATGCCCATTTTCTAAGTCATGAGAGCCACTTGCAGAATAGCGACCACAACATGCGATCTCATTTCTGGTGCTCACCATATCATAGAACGTAGAACTGTACAGCACAGGAACATGCCCTTTGGCCCACGATGTGCTGAACGTGATGCCAAATTAAACTAATCCCTTCTGCCTACCCTTGGTCCATATCTCTCCATTCCTTGTATATTTGTATGCTTATCTAAAAGTCCCTTAAATGCTCCTATTTTGTCTGCCTCCATCACTACCCCTGGCAGTGTGTTCCAGACTCCTATCACTCTCTGTGTAAAAAAAAATCTAGCCTCTCACATCTCCTTTGAACTTTCTCCCTCTCACCTTATATGCATGCCCTCTAGTGTTAGACATTTCAACTCTGGGGAAAAATTCTGACCATCAACCCTATTTATGTATCTCATAATTTTATAGACTTCTATCAAGTCTCCCCTCAGCCCACGCTGTTCCAGAGAAAACAGCCCGAGTTTTCTAGCCAACAAGGTGCAGAGCTGGATGAACACAGCAGGCCAAGCAGCATCATAGGAGCAGAAAGGCTGATGTTTTGGGCCTAGACCCTTCATCATTTTGTCGGCCTTTCTGCTCCTATGATGCTGCTTGGCCTGCTGTGTTCATCCAGCTCTGCACCTTGTTGTCTCGGATTCTCCAGCATCTGCAGTTCCTATTATCTCTCCTTCCACAACTACCCTCTGCCTTCTATGGGCCAGAAAATTCTGAATCCACACAGCCAAGTCACAGTGGATCCCATGCATCTTAATCTTCTGGATGAGCCTACCATGAGGGATCTTGTTGAAAGCCTTAGTAAAATCCATGTAGACAACACCTACTGCTCTACCCTCATGAAGCACCTTCCTCATCTCATAAAATTCAGTCAAGTTAATGATGCTATGTAATACTCATTTGATAGCAATTCTGTCAAGTGAAGCACACTGCTCCAGCTATAACCCCCTGTATTAAACATACAGTTGAAGTTGCCAAAAGTATACCCCCAGTCAATGCTATGTAAAAAGATCATCATTCTGCATTCATGTATTTCATGGTTTTGACTGGATCTTGCCAGTAGTTGTAGTTGTTTGAAGAGTAGTTTAAAAGTCGCTGAGGTGTACAGTTGGTGGTGAAACTGGTGCTGTAGGCTTTACCTTGGCTTCAAGGATTCTATATAAACCACATTGTTACACCTCACTGGGGTAACGTGCTGGAAATGAAGCCCCGGTATTTCCAGTCATCACAAAAACTAAAGGTTTTGTAAAGGACACAAGAGAAGGTGGGTTGTTCACGTATAAAGAGTTTCTGACTTGCAAGTTAAAGATCCCAGCTTGCAACAACTGGTGTAGAGAAGATAAACCGGTTTTGTTCAGGTTTACAGTGAGTTTTGACTGCAGAAAACAGAGAAAAGAACCTGAGTTAACGGTTCGGGTCTGGTGACCCTTCCTCAGAACTCCTTAGGTGTTCCGAGGAAGGGTCGCTGGACCCAAATCATTAACTCTGATCTTTTCTTCACAGATGCTGCCAGATCTGCTGAGCTTTTCCAGAACTTTGTTTTTGTTCCTGATTTATAGCATCCATAGTTCTTTTGGTTTTTATAGAGAAAAGAACATGTCTCTCTCTCTTTGTAACTTGTTCCCAGCTCCAAGCTGTTCAGTAACCTGAATACCAATCACACAGCTGTTGGCAGGCAAAAATATCTGTCGTTGATTGAAAAAAAAGGCCAATCAACTTCTTGTTGCCAAAAGGAACTGCAGCTAAACACGCCTCTGCTCCAAATCGTCTGCAACTCAAACTTCAATTACTGCTTGTTCAAACAGTTTACAAGATGCCTGCAGCAAGTGCTTTCAAAATGCAAAGCCGTCCTTTCAAAGACAACAAGGTCCAGGGCTGGATGAACACAGCAGGTCAAGCAGCATCATAGGAGCAGAGAGGCTGACGTTTCGGGCCTAGAAACCAGCATCTGCAGTTCCTACTATCCCCGTCCTTTCAAACACTGGTTTTAAAACGGTTCTTTCTTATTCAGTCTGCAGTTTTGAAAAGACAAAGGTCCTTACAATGTGCTCGCAGACGGATGTAATAGTTTGTACTCCTCCTAAATTGTAGCTTGATGAGTTTAATGAGGAGAAGTGACACAGGCAGAGCAAACTGCTGGAACACAGGAGTGGGAGAGGCTCTCTGCAGGAGGCTATATTCACTCAGTCTGTTCAGGGAGTGATTCCCTTCTCTGAAGCTCAGTGAGGAACAATACTTCTGATGTCAAATTCTTTCTTTCTGAAACATAAAGTAGATAACGGAAAAGTCTTTATTCTCTCAAATATGTCTCTTTATCTCTAGGATGGGAATCGTGCTGATGACTCAAAGGATGAAGTTGCTGTGGAAAGTTATGTTGTTCAGCGCTACATTGAGAACCCCTATCTAATCGGAGGTACTTTGTCCAATCTTTAACAGAAAGATAAAGTTGAAGTATTAATTAATCTATCCTGGCTTCCACCTGTGTTCGACAGATTTTTCCCTTTTTTCTTCTTGCCACCACCTCTCTTTCCCTGTTTCTGTTTCCCTTCAATGCTGATGCCTGGTTCTTGACTTGAAATACTAACTCTGGACTGAATTGTACCAAAAATTGTTGAAGTGTCAGTTTTGTTGAGGTTTTGGAGGGTTTCTCTCTGTGGTTCCTGGCAAGATTTCTCACACTGTCTTCCCAAACTACATTCATTACCTATGCACCACACCCAAAAATATTTGCCACTGCTGAGACCTTCCGAGAATCCTGTTGATGGTGCCATTTTTGTAGCGGAGCGTTGGCAGTCTGCAGCTATCCTGCACGGACCATGTGAATGATTCCAGACATATTGGACAGAGGGAATTTGCAGCTGGTTTGTAGACCAGGTGGTCCTGGTGGATGGGTGTTGGAGACAGGGCTGTCCTGTTCCTTCATGACTGCTAGAAGAGACCGTGGTACCACATCCTGCAAGTCTGGTCTGAGATTGCCACTCGGGCTAGTGCGGTGTCCACTTTTCAGAGGAGCTCCCAGCAGCTCAGGAGGAAGGTTTACTGATCTTTGTCACTCCATCAGGGTAAGTGTCACCCATCATATCTCTGCTATCACATACCCACTGCACACTCCTCTACCAATGCTCATGCTCTATCTGCATTCGGCATCTTTCCTCATTGGCTTCCCTCTACCCAGCCACTCACTCATTCCGGGCATCTCATCATCATTCCCCCAACCTGCACCAGTACTAACAGCTGTGCCACTTATCTCACACAATCCCGCCCTTTGTCTCATTTCCGGAGAAAAAGACCCAGCGCAGGGCATAAAGAGCCAAAAAGGTGGTGAGGTGCTATCATTCATCTCCTCACCCCATATGAGTAGGTAACCTGGCCCTGACCACCCCAAGCAGCTGACTGACAGTGCCCAAGCCCAAGCTGCAATCAACACTGGAGGCTGCTCTTGACTGATTGTGCTGGGAGCCCCTGACTGAAGGTGCCTTTCTTAAGTTGACTGTGGACTACTCCCCTTAGACTTTGAGACATGGCCATTCAGTTGATAGAGTGTGTTTGTTCTGGATGCTGCTGGTACAATAGTGCGGGTGTAAGATTCATGTCGCAAAGTGACACGCGCAACATGTCCACCCAGATGACGGATGGTTATGACAAGCTGCCTGGCTTTGAGTCTGTGCTAAAAGGCAAGACAGAAATACTCCGAAATTTAAGCTGTAGCTGAGGGGGCAAAGCACACAAAGTTAAGGCAAGGTAAAGCAGTAATACTGTGAGAATCTAAGTAGGAGCAATGTGAGGGAGGGCTAAGACAGCAATCGAAGACCCCGAGGTGCAGCCTGATCAAATCCATGAGTTGAATGTTGGCCCTGTGCTCAGAGTGCTCTGGCAGTGGCATTCTAATGAAAGGCACCAGTGCACTCCTAAGTGCGGCGGCACTGTGTTGTACATGGATTGGATATGTGCCATGAGGGTACAGAGAGGCTGGTATGTGTCTCATTCCCATCTCAATGGCTGGTGGATGCTTGCAGTTGCTGCTTATGGAGCATTTCCTGAGATGTTGATGAATGGTGTCTAATATGGAGGGCTGGGGGAGTTAGTGGCAAGCTGGAGTCACTAGATTACCACTCTGACTTTCATTTCAGGAATTGTTACCGTCTGATTCTATGAGATGGGTGGGAGAATGGGGTGAGATTAAATAATATTGAGATGTCAACGCACGATAATGCACGCAAATAGGCCCCTCACCACTCACTAATGAGATTCTCATCTCGCTGTTCAACACTAGTTTGGAGAATTGGACTTTTTTTCCCTTGACATCGGGAGACTACACAGTTGATCACACCTGACGTTCCCAAGGTTCTCGCTAATGCATTCATCGTTTGGTGGCAGAAAAGACTATCCTGTCTTTCTCTTCATGCAGATTCTGATGAACACTTCCAACCTTTCATTTGTTCTTGCTGTTTTTAAAATTATTTATAGAATAACCTTTCAACATCTTTTCCAGTAGAGTTCCAACAACAAATTATGAAAAATTCACATCTCCCTCTTGGTATTTTATAAATAATTTAAAGTATGTGACTTCTGTTTATGGATCCACACAGCACAAAGAATATTTTTGCTATTCACTCACTAACCCACACTCTCAGAAAGAGACACAAACGGGACAAGGAAAGACAGACAGGAAACAGTGAGACACACACACCGCCTGACAGAGACATATGGGCATACACACAGACCTACACAGACACTGACAGACACACACACACCTCTGCATCTCCACTGCCATTACCAGCCTGTCCTTAGTTGGTTTCATTTGAAAAGAAGCTAAAGACTCTGGCTTAGTCTTGTATTCCAGTGCTTCTTCATGATGCTTATTCCAGCACACAATCTGTCGTCTGTGCAAAACTATAGCTGCTTTTCTATCCTGGAAACATAGAACATAGAACATAGAACATTACAGCGCAGTACAGGCCCTTCGGCCCTCGATGTTGCGCCGACCTGTGAAACCAGTCTGAAGCCCATCTAACCTAAACTATTCCATTATCATCCATATGTTTATCCAATGACCATTTAAATGCCCTTAAAGTGGGCGAGTCTACTATTTTTGCAGGCAGGGCATTCCACGCCCTTACTACTCTCTGAGTAAAGAACCTACCTCTGACATCTGTCCTATATCTATCACCCCTCAATTTAAAGCTATGTCCCCTCGTGCTAGCCATCACCATCCGAGGAAAAAGGCTCCCACTGTCCACCCTATCTAATCCTCTGATCATCTTGTATGTCTCTATCAAGTCACCTCTTAACCTTCTTCTCTCTAACGAAAACAGCCTCAAGACCCTCAGCCTTTCCTCATAAGACCTTCCCTCCATACCAGGCAACATCCTGGTAAATCTTCCACATCCTTCCTATAATGCGGTGACCAGAACTGTACGCAATACTCCAAGTGCGGCCGCACCAGAGTTTTGTACAGCTGCAACATGACCTCATGGCTCCGAAACTCAATCCCTCTACCAATAAAACCTAGCATACTGTACGCCTTCTTAACAACGCTATCAACCTGGGTGGCAACTTTCAGTGATCTATGCACATGGACACCGAGATCTTTCTGCTCATCCACACTACCAAGAATCTTACCATTAGCCCAGTACTCTGTATTCCTGTTACTCCTTCCAAAGTGAATCACCTCACACTTTTCCGCATTAAACTCCATTTGCCACCTCTCAGCCCAGCTCTGCAGCTTATCTATGTCCCTCTGTAACCTGCAACATCCTTCCGCACTATCCACAACTCCACCAACTTTGGTGTCATCCGCAAATTTACTAACCCATCCTTCTACACCCTCATCCAGGTCATTTATAAAAATGACAAACAGCAGTGGCCCCAAAACAGATCCTTGAGGTACACCACTAGTAACTGAACTCCAGGATGAACATTTCCCATCAACCACCACCCTCTGTCTTCTTACAGCTAGCCAATTTCTGATCCAAACCGCTAAATCACCCTCAATCCCATGCCTCCGTATTTTCTGCAATAGCCTACCGTGGGGAACCTTATCAAACGCTTTACTGAAATCCAAATACACCACATCAACCGCTTTACCCTCATCCACCTGTTTGGTCACCTTCTCGAAGAACTCAATAAGGTTTGTGAGGCACGACCTACCCTTCACAAAACCGTGTTGACTATCCCTAATCAAATTATTCCTTTCTAGATGATTATAAATCCTATCTCTTATAATCCTTTCAAACACTTTACCCACAACCGAAGTAAGGCTCACTGGTCTATAATTACCAGGGTTGTCTCTACTCCCCTTCTTGAACAAGGGGACAACATTTGCTAGTCTCCAGTCTTCTGGCACTATTCCTGAAGACAATGACGACATAAAGATCAAAGCCAAAGGCTCTGCAATCTCCTGTCTAGCTTCCCAGAGACTCCTAGGATAAATCCCATCCGGCCCAGGGGACTTATCTATTTTCACACCTTCCAGAATTGCTAACACCTCCTCCTTATGAACCTCAATCCCGTCTAGTCTAATAGACTGTATCTCAGTATTCTCCTCGACTACATTGTCTTTTTCCTGCGTGAATACTGACGAAAAATATTCATTTAGCACCTCTCCTATCTCTTCGGACTCCACGCACAACTTCCCACTACTGTCCTTGACCGGCCCCAATCTTACTCTAGTCATTCTTTTATTCCTGACATACCTATAGAAAGCTTTAGGGTTTTCCTTGATCCTACCTGCTAAAGACTTCTCATGTCCCCTCCTGGCTCTTCTTAGCTCTCTCTTTAGGTCCTTCCTGGCTAACTTGTAACTCTCAAGCGCCCTAACTGAGCCTTCACGCCTCATCTCTACATAAGCCTCCTTCTTCCTCTTGACAAGAGATTCAACTTCTTTAGTAAACCACGGTTCCCTCGCTCGACCACTTCCTCCCTGCCTGACAGGTACATACTTCTCAAGGACACGCAGTAGCTGTTCCTTGAACAAGCTCCACATTTCAATTGTGCCCAGCCCCTGCAGTTTCCTTCTCCATCGTATGCATCCTAAATCTTGCCTCATCGCCTCATAATTGCCTTTCCCCCAGCTATAACTCTTGCCCTGTGTTATATACCGATCCCTTTCCATCGCTAAAGTAAACGTAACCGAATTGTGGTCACTATCACCAAAGTGCTCACCTACCTCCAAATCTAACACCTGGCCTGGTTCATTACCCAGTACCAAATCCAATGTGGCCTCGCCTCTTGTTGGCCTATCTATATACTGTGTCAGGAAACCCTCCTGCACACATTGGACAAAAACTGACCCATCTGAAGTACTCGAACTATAGCGTTTCCAGTCAATATTTGGAAAGTTAAAGTCCCCCATAACAACTACCCTGTTACTTTCGCTCCTATCCAGAATCATCTTTGCAATCTTTTCCTCTACATCTCTGGAACTTTTCGGAGGCCTATAGAAAACTCCCAACAGGGTGACCTCTCCTTTCCTGGTTCTAACCTCAGCCCATACTACCTCAGTAGACGAGTTGTCATCAAACGTCCTTTCTGCCACCGTAATACTGTCCTTGACTAACAATGCCACACCTCCCCCTCTTTTACCACCTTCCCTGATCTTACTGAAACATCTAAACCCCGGAACCTGCAACAACCATTCCTGTCCCTGCTCTATCCATGTCTCCGAAATGGCCACAACATCGAAGTCCCAGGTACCAACCCATGCTGCAAGTTCACCCACCTTATTCCGGATGCTCCTGGCATTGAAGTAGACACACTTCAAACCACCTTCCTGCCTGCCGGTACGCTCCTGCGACCTTGAAACCTTATTTATGACCTCACTACTCTCAACCTCCTGTACACTGGAGCTACAATTCAGGTTCCCACCCCCCTGTTGAATTAGTTTAAACCCTCCCAAAGAGCATTAGCAAATTTCCCCCCCAGGATATTGGTACCCCTCTGGTTCAGGTGTAGACCATCCCGTTTGTAGAGGTCCCACCTACCCCAGAATGAGCCCCAATTATCCAGGTATCTGAATCCCTCCCTCCTGCACCATCCCTGTAGCCACGTGTTCAACTGCTCTCCCTCCCTATTCCTCGCCTCGCTAGCACGTGGCACGGGTAACAAACCAGAGATAACAACTCTGTTTGTTCTAGCTCTAAGCTTCCACCCTAGCTCCTTGAATTTCTGCCTTACGTCCCCATCCCTTTTCCTACCTATGTCGTTGGTGCCTATGTGGACCACGAGTTGGGGCTGCTCCCCCTCCCCCTCCCCCTTAAGGATCCCGAAAACACGATCCGAGATATCACGGACCCTTTATAGTTACTTACTATTGTTTATACAAAGTTTGGCAACAAGGTGTTTTGTTATTTCTAGGGAGAAAATTTGATCTGCGAGTCTATGTACTGGTGACATCTGTAAGTAGATTTTGTTTTTGTCATTAAACTGAGAATAATCACCAGTTTTAAGGGTTGTAATTAGTTAAAGTGATGTCAGAATTGAGTGTGAGCCTTAGCTGTTGTCTGACTTGGTAATGCCATTTCATGTTTGAGCTGATTGTGGATTGGCATGAGGCTAGTACAAAATGTGAGTATGTAGAATGAACAATAAAACAGGATAGCAGGATACAAGCCAGATCCCAGCGAATGTGAGCATGTTAGTGACATATTGCAAACACACAATCTTCAGTGGATATGTATCCTACTCCATTGAGTCTGGATGTGTCTGTTTCTAGCAAGTGAAGTTTCAATACCCACCTCCTCACTTACTCTCTAATCTCAGTTATAAATTCATCAACTCATAGAGTTTTAATAGCATGGAAGGAGGCCACTCTGCCCATTGTGTCTGCACCAGTCATCAAGCATCCATCTATTTTTACAATGGTAATTATTTCACTTGGAGTAAGTAATTACTGTACTCACTGTAATCTTGAATTCTCAACTGATCTCATCTAATTTGTGCAAGTTACCACACTGATCCAAAAGAAATGTATACATTGATTTATTTCCAATATTATCGTGCAACATGTGCACTACATCATCTCAATGAAAGTGAATTAACTTATGGTTGTTTGTGAATTGGACTCCTGATTGGTTTGCAAAATCTTTTGTTGAATAGATGAATTTGAATTATTTGTACCATCTGTAACAAAGCCTTTGAGGTTTTGCTAATTGATTCATTCATGGGATATGGGCATCACTGGTTACATTGGCATTGTTCATCTATAATTGTCTTTGAGAAGGTGGGTGTGAGTTACCTTGTAGTACTGCAGTTCATTAAATGTAGGAACATCCAATGTGCTGTTGGGGATCCAGTTCCTAGTTGACCTAATGACACTGAAAGAATGGTTATATAGTTCCAATAACGGGGATGATGTTTAATTAGAAGGGATCTTACAGGTGGTAGTGTTCCAACGCATCTGCTGCTCTTGTCTTTCCAGGTGTAAAGATCAAGGTTTTTGCAGATGCTGTTGAAGGAGCCTTAGCCAGACAGTGCTGGGTGTTGGATGTGGAGGGAGTGAATTTTAAGATGGAGGATGGGATTCCTATCCAGCAGGCTGCTTTGTCCTGGATGGTGTTGAGTTTCTTGAGTGTTGTTGGAGCTACACTTATTCAGGCAAGTCCATTACACTCTTGACTTGTGCCTTGTAGCTAGTAGTCAGGCGTTGAGGAGTCAGCGGTTGAATTACTTGCTGCAGAACTCCCAGTTTCTGACCTGTTTTTGTTGCCACAGCATTAACATGGCTGGTCCAGTTCAGTTTCTGGTCGATGATAACCCCAGGATGTTGATAATAGGAGGAACTGAATGATAGTAATGCCATTGAATGTTGAAGGGAGATTGAGATGATCTTTCCCTTGTTTAAGGTGGTCATTGTTTGGCATTTCCATTTATCAGCCCAAACTTGGATGTGTTTCTGGACATGCTATATGTGAACACAGACTACTTCAGTAAGCTGGAAATCCAGTGCACTTCAGTGGGCATATTAACAGTGAAAAGGTTCATTAAAGGACTCTTGATGTGAATTGGTGTCTCAAAGGGAGAGATCAGTTAGTGCAGGTACTAAATGAGTTTGCCTTCTGATTTCCTAAGGAAGAATATGACGCCGGAACAATGGAAATTGATGGGATATTGGATGAGATAAATATAGATAAAGAGGAGAAACTTGAAAGGTTGGCAATCCAGGCTGAATGGGATACAATGGAGATTGTTGAGAGAAGTATGGGTGAAAATTGCAGACGTTCAACAGATACAACAGTGGCAGCTACATGATAAATGTAGAAGGTTATCAAGGTGTGGCTTGTTAGTGAAAAAGCAGAACAAATCCAAAACCATTACATCAGTCTATAAAGTGAAAGAAGGTGAGATTTACAGCAGTATCAAGCAATACTTAGCAATAACCTGCTTGCTGACACTCAGTTTGGGTTCCATGTGGGCAATTTGGCTGTTGACTACTTTTCAGCCTTGGTCCAAATGTGGACAAATGAATTCTGTAGGTGAGGTGAGAGTGGCTGTCTTTGACATGGGAGCAACATTTGACCAAGACCGAGTAGAATTGAAGTCACAAGGAATCAGGCAAAAATTCTCCACAATTTGGAATCATACCTAGGATAAAGGAAGATGGTTATGGTTGTTGGAACTAATCATTTCAGCCCTGGAACATCACTGTAGGAGTTCTCTAGAGTAGTCATAGGCCCAACCATCCTCAGCTGCTTCATCAATGAACTTACCTCAAGAATAAGGTCAGAAGTGGGGATGTTCACTGTTGATTTCACAATATTCAGCATCATTCACAATTCCTCCAATATTGAAACAGTTGTGCCCACAAGGAACAAAACCGTGACAACATTCAGGCTTTGAATGATAAGGAGCTAGTGATATTCATCCCTCAATTGCTAGGCAGTGACCATTTACAACAAAAGAATTTAATCATTGCAATCGGAGTGAGTCATACTTGGGACTATCAAAGCATACAAGTTTGCAAGTCGCATGATTGAGGGGAAGTACTGAGGGTGGACTATGCCCGACTGTGATATAGCCCAAATGTGAAGTCAGAAGTTTAGTGGGAATCCTGTGCAGAATGAGAAAGATGTGCTTCTACTTTTCCCTCTTTCTTTCAGACTCCAGCATCTACTGAGTCTTCTTCATCAAAACTACAAGAGTGGTATTTTCTAATATTAATAACTAATAGCACTAAACTAGAGAATAGTAAGTTAATCGGTGGAGTTGGAATAAGGGAGACAGTAATGAAATCTAAATCAGGATTACTCTGCATACAAGTGAATATGTGGAATAGAGTGAATAAGATTGGGAGGTTGCAGGTACAGATTACTACATGGCATTATGATGATGCTGTGGTGACAATGGAGACCTGGCTTGAGCATGCCCTGATCCAGGTTTTAAATATTTCTGGTTGCAATGTGTTTAGAAAAGACAAAAGGGCTAAAAACAAGGAGAGGTGGCATTTTGGATTAAGGAAAGTATTACAGTACTGCAGCAAGAGGATGTTTCGGAGGGTTCAAAGACAGATCACTTTAGCTTGAACTAAGAAATAGAAAGCTTGCAATTATGCTGCTTGATGTAATATATAGGCTGTCAGATGGTGGAAAGGATATAGAGGAACAAATCATAAGGAGATTACAGAGGGGTGTAAGCATCATGGAGTAGTTATAGTAGGGATTTTAATTACCTGTATATTATCTGGGATAATTGTATTATATCACAGTGCAGGACAGGTGTTCTCAATTTATTTTCAGGAGAATTTCCTACAGTGTTATGTGGTCAGTCCAATAAGGCAATACCAGACCTGGTTCTTGGGAATGAGGTTGGCCAAGTAGATCAAAGTGACAGTGAGGAAACATTTAGGGGATAGTGATCATTGTACCGTAAGGTTTAGGATGAGAGTAGAAAATGACATTGGTCAATGCACAGTAAGAATAATCAACTGGTGGTGAGCTAACTTGAATGGGTCAGGAACAGAGCTGTGATGGATAGCCTGGAGGGTTAAGGCTGGTGATGAAGAGTTGGAGGGAAAAACAGTAGCTGAACAGTAGGCTTAGTTCAAAGGAGTGATGGTTTGGACACAGTCAAGCTATTTTCCCTGCAACGGGAAAGGTAGGACAAAACCAGAACTCCCTGGATGACAAAGGAGTTAGAAATTAAGTTGAAGAAATAGTATGTTTATGCCAAATGTAAAATAGTAACCACATTTGAAAATCAAGCTGAATAAACAAGGTTTAGAAGGAAGGTGAAAAAGCAAATATGAGAAATATGAGAAATATGAAGAAAGACTGGCAGCTGATATAAGAAATGTCTTCCATAGGAACATCAACAATAAAAGGGTGATTAAAAGGAAGTGTAGGGTGAATAAGGGACTAAAAATGGGATTTATACTTAGCAGCATGACTGAGGTGTAAATAAATACTTTACATTTGTCTTTGAGGCCGATGCTGCGCAGGCCATCGAAACAGAGGAGGAAACTCAATCACTGGAAGGTTTAAAATTGATAAGAATGGAGTATTGGATAAGCTGAAGATACTTAATATTGATAAGGACTTGGGATCAGATGAGATGCATCCAAAGATATTGCAGGAAGTGAAAGTGCAAATTGCAGAGGCACTGGCAAATTATCTTTCAATCTTCCTGGATTTGGGAGTGGTACTGAAGAATTGCAAACATTTCACCCTTGATCAACAAAGATTATGTAGATTGGCCCAGCAATTACAGACCATCAGTTTAACTGCGGTGATGGGGCAACTTCTAGAAACAGTTATTCAGGATCGAATTAATAGTCAAATAGCAAAATGTGGATTGATTTGGAAGAGACTGGAAGAGTTCAGGGAACATTGTATCTAGCTAAGTTGCTGGAGGTTTTTGAAGAGATAATAGAGTGGTGATGAGATGTACATGACTTCCAAAAGGTGTTCAATATAGTACCATCAACAGACTTGTGAGGAAAGTTTTAGGTCATAGAAGAAAAGTAGTAACATGTATACAGAATTGGTTGAAGATTAGGAAACAGAAGTAATGGGTTAATGGGTATTTTTCAGGCTGGTAAAAGGTTTGTAGTGGAGTTCTCCACATATAAGTAAAATAAATAATCTAGATATTGATATGCAAGGGACATTTTCAAAGTTTACGGTCATCATGAAACTTGGAAGAATTGTAAACTATGAAACTTCAGACTTCAATTTTCTTCACTTAAAGTTTTGGACTTCTCTATACCAGAGGCTTGTGAATGTTTCATTGCTGAATACATTTCAGGCAGGGAGGATCGGTTAGCTTGGACGACTGGTTTGTGATGCAGCATGATGTCAACATAATGGATTCAATTCTCACACTGGCTGAAGTTACATTGAAAGACTCTCCTTCTCGACCACTCCCCTCACCTGAAGTGTGGTGACCCTCTGGTTAAACCACCACTGGTTATCTCTCTATAATGATAGATCAGCCCAATGGTCTGCTAGGACTATGATGACTTAACCTTTACCTTTTACACCTAAGACTTGGCGAAAGCAGCATGTTGGTCACCCTGGGCCAAGCGGTTCTATGTGGCTGGGGACTGAGTAACTGGAGTTTGAAATGAGTGGGTGACTAAGGAGGTGACTGAGTGGCACTGAGCCAGACATTCACACACACATCCTTCCCTCTACCTTCCCTTCCCTTGTGCCCTATTCACAAAGCAGGCTGGGAGAGGAGGAAAACCCAGACTATATGGCAACCCACTTTCATGTGAATTCCTCTCAGGCCAGCTCAGAACATGCCCCACCAGAGGTGAATCAAGATCAGTAGATCAGTGATAGTTAAACTCACTTTCTTAGCTCAGCCCCCATTCCTATCCCCATCCCTAGTGATCAGGATGTGAAGTTTTTCTCTTTGTAGCGCTCTGTTCTTAACCAAATAGACCAATGATCCTGCTCCTATGATGCTGCTTGGCCTGCTGTGTTCATCCAGCTCTACACCTTGTTGTCTCAGACCAATGAGAAAGAGGTTTTATTAGTTAGCTCTGCTGCTTTATACTTTTCAATGGTCATTGCATTCATTATTTACAAATGATAAATTTGGAACTTTTTTCCTGAAACTCATGTTTCTTCTGTCAAGAAGTATCTATATGAACTTTGTTGGCCCTCTGAATGAGAAAGAACTTGAAATTTGGGCCTCCTGTGTGGGTAGACCAGAAGGTAAATGTTTCAAGGTTTAATATCTCATTTGAAAGTTGGCAGCTCTAACGTGCAGCACTTCCTCAATATTATACTGTTGTGCTCAAGCTCTGGAGTGAGACTTGAACCTGGAGACTGGTGATTCAGAGGCAAGTCTGTCACCAATTGAACCACAGCTGAATCAATAACACTTCTATGTCAATTTTTAGCCCATTTGTATTCTCAATTAGTAAGGTTCATTATTAGAGTACAGGGTGAGGTTTATTAGCAAAAAGACATAGGTAAAATAATGGAAAGGTTTTTCATGCACTATATGATTAGAATTTGGAATGCAATTAAATGTAGAATGGTTGTTGCAAAAGGGAATTTTAATGGACAATGAAATGTAGGGTAAGGGGCAGGATAGATCCAGAGAATAGGAGTAAGTGATCTTTGAAAGAGTTTGAAAAGCTATCCGTGAATGCAATCACATGGTCAATATTTGTTCAGAATATGAGTGATGTGTTAACTTGCATTCCATCTCCTCTCTCACACAATACAGTATGTTCCTCTGAAAGCCTGGTTATATAGAGATGGATTTGCTCGATTTTCAAACACCCGATTTTCACTGAGCAGCATTGATGATCATTGTATCCTTTACCATATGGCAATGACACAGCTCACCAGGCACATTGAGAAATACTGGATAAACATAAAATAAAATAACAATTGGTATCTCCCATAGGAATCATTAATATAGCAGCCCCTGTGTATCTCAGTGTGACCCGGAGCAGCCCCTGTGTATCTCAGTGTGACCCGGAGCAGCCCCTGTGTATCTCAGCATTATCCAGAGCAGCCCCTGTGTATCTCAGTGTGACCCGGAGCAGCCCCTGTGTATCTCAG